GCTGCGCCCGGCCTGCCGCCGGACCTCCCCCAGAGTGCACCTACGGGGACCAGGCGGACATCTCAGGGCTAGTGACTGCCCCTCAGATGACCCCCGGAGGCTGAGAAAGGCCCTGAAGACCCATGAGGGACAAATCTTAGCCATTTGCACTCAGTTCTGGGGCCTGGTGGACCTGCACACCACTGGCCAGGCAGGGAGGAGGGCCCACCCTACCTCCGACCCCCGGCCTGAGCAAGGGGTGGACAGGGAGAGGTGTGGCCTCAACCAAGCTGCCCCTGAACTGCAGGGAGACTGGCCAGGATGACTCGGCCCACTTGGTCCTGGGCTCCTTCAGCCCTGAGCCTGGTGGCCCCGGATCTAACTATAGCCTGTCACCAGGACGCTCGCCCAGGGTTCCCACACCGTGGGGTCTCTAGAGCTGAGCCGGTGCCCATGGTCCATTCAGGCCCATCAGCAGGTTTCAGGAAAGCCTTGGCCGTCCCTGGGAGACCCCCAACCTGTCTGGAAAGGACTCCTGGTCCATCCTGGGCCTGTCCCCACTGGGGAGCCTGGAGGGCGGGGCCAGCAGCAGAGGGAGCCTGCTGAGGTCCTGAGGGAGCAGCCAGGCAGGGCTGTGGGGCAGCACGTCTGAACTGGACCACGGGGACCACCCGGAGAGGGGTCCTTCTGGGCAGGCCCCAGAGCCTGGCTTCCACTGGGCAGCCCAGAGAACACAAGCCGCCCCAGACTCCCTGCACAGCCCCCCAGGACGAGGGTGGCCCTCACGGGCTGCAGAGCTCCTGTCACCCGAGAGCCCTGGGGAGTGGGCGCCACTCCCACCATGGCACTGCGTCACCATGCACACCACGCCAGGGGTCCCTGGGGCAGAAAGTGGGTCACATGCTTATTCCGCTTCACCTCTGACCCCAGGAGCCGTCAGGAGACAGGGACACCTTTTAGAGGGCCACAGAGGGCAGGCAGAGCAGGAGCAGAGACCCACCTCCTTGGGTTTCTCCCAGTGTGAAGAGGGCAGGGGTCTCTGCCCCGGAGGTGAGACCCCCATTGTGCACCCCTGCCCCAGCCAATACTGACAAGTCTGGCAGCGGGGGGCCCCCCTTTCCTGGCTGGGCAGCAGTGGGTGGGCAGCCTCATCAGGAAATGGCAGCCGCGGTGGAGGGATCTGGAACATTCCTCCCACCCAGTACACACAGCCACTCCTGCTGGCAGGCAGTCCAGGGCCAGGCCTCCGTCATGGGGCTGGGCCCGCACCCCAACGTCCCCTTGGCTGGAGGACACTGTGGACAGGGAAGGCTTTCATCGCATGCCCCCGAACTGGGGGTCCCAGTCCCCCTCCCTGCCCGCCCCTCCATCATCCCACGCCTGCCTGGGCTGACGCTTGCGCCAGCAATCCTCGGGTTTGCGTTGGCCCCCGGCCAAACCCCGGAATGTGCCTGCTGGCTGCACGGCGGCTGTTCCTGGAACAGGGGTGACAATGGACAGACTGTCTTGGAGATGGGGGCGGACGGGGTGCAGACTGCCCAGGGCCACGCATGAATAGGGCACAGAGTCCTGAGACAGGATGAATGGCCTCACCCGAGCCCAGACACCCCTGAATGGGTCTGGGGCATCCAAAGACGCAGTGGAACTTGGCATGGCCGCCAGGAGCCCAGGCTGGGACGTGGGCCTACGTGAGCGCTGAGACGAGGGGCTGGGGGCACGGGCACTCGCTGAGGGCTGAGAGACTGGACCCTGGGGGCCCGTGCACTCTGACACTGAGTCACGGGATGCCTGAGAGGGGCACCGGAGGGGCACGTGCCACAGTACCCGACTCCAGGTGATAAGGAGACGTTCAGTCAGAAGGCATGTCACCCAGGCACTCGGTGGCACAGTTACAGGGGGGCAGGACACCCAGACTCTTGGGTCAGTGGGGTTCATGTCCTTGTGATGCTCCTTAGATGGGGGCTGCAGACCTCCAGGGAAGGCCAGGGACCCTGGATGCTCAGGGGGAGGTGGTCTGCCTGGCCCCAGGCATGAACAGGGCACAGAGGTGCTGGACAACGTGGCTGATAGGCCTGGACAGGATGAACGGGCAGCAGCGCCCAAGGATGCAATGGGCCTGGGAACTGGTCCTGGGCCCTCGCCTGCCACGAGGGCTCTTGTGAAAGGCATTGAGAGCCAGCCGGGGGGGGTGGCTGTCAGAGCCCCTGAGGAGGGGGACAGGCTGTCCAGACCCTGGGGTAATGAGGGAAGAGGGGGACAGGGGGACCGCAGCATGGTGCCCAGCTCACTAAGGCTTAGTGGAAACTGGGCTTCGAGGACTGTGCGTGACATTTGAGGTCCCTGTTACCTGGGTGTGTGGAGGAGTGGGGGACAGGCTACCAGCAGAGGCCAGGGATAGAGCTGGAGCCTGGGCAGGGGCTACAGGAAGAGGGGCCAGGCTGCAGGTGGCCGAGAGGCCAAGTATCCAGTCATTCTGAGGGGCCACGGGGTCAGAGGCTTGGGGACAGCTATGCAGGGGAGGGTGGGACTAGTGCAGCCTGGGTGGCCAGGGGCACCTGTGTGGGTCTACTCTCAGGACCTCTGGGAGTTTGGGACTTGGTCACAGAAACCTGGTGGCTGAGGGGACTGGAGGTTAGGTGGTCAGCTATAAGGACCACCTAGGGCAGTCTAATGTCCCAGGGTGGGCTCCTGGGACCCAGACGTTCAGACAGTGAGTGTCCGGGTAGAAGCCCCTGGTGTCCAGGTGGGCAGCATTCGGGCGCAGAATTGCCAAGGAGCATGAGGCAGCAGCCAGCGCGTCCCCAGGGAACGGGTAGAGGCCACTCGGCCCCAACAGCGTCCGCAGGTCCTCAGGGCACAGGGATGACCCAGACCTGCTCAGAAGACGAGCCAGCGCTCCGACTCTCGGGGTGCAGGGACCCAGGTGCCCAGACAGGGTACAGAGACTAACTCAGTTTAATGAGGCCCTTGGGCTAAGGGGGTGCAGAGACTAGACTCACTCAGGCCAATGGGGTGCAGAGACTAGACTCAGGCTAAGGGGGTACCTAGACTAGACTCACACAGGCCAATGGGGTGCAGAGACTAGACTCACACAGGCCAATGGGGTGCAGAGACTAGACTCAGGCTAATGGGGTACCTAGACTAGACTCACTCAGGCCAATGGGGTGCAGAGACTAGACTCAGGCTAATGAGACTGGACTCAGGCCAATGGGGTGCAGAGACTGGACTCAGAATAACTGGGTACAGGGCAGGGGGACCAGACGCTGGCCTCTCTGGAGCAGGAAACCAGCCTGGGCCGGGCTCGTCTCCTGTGGGCTCAGGTTCATAGTCCAGACCCCTGGGCGGCTCGGGGTGGGCAGGCGGCCCAGCACACTGATGAATGGTGCACAGAGAGCAGAGACAAGGGTGAATGGGACACATACAGCCGTGCAAGGGACGGGCACAAGGCGTCCAAAACCACAGGAAGAGGGCACCGGCCCCTGGGCCCCGGGCCCGGCACACAGGCCCGCGAGCTGTGTCAATGGGGCATTCAGTGGGCCCAACCAGCCGGTACAGGCTGTCCAGGGCCCTGGCGACCATAGAATAGAGTCCTGTTCTCCAGCTGACGGGGCCAGCTCACCCAGGCTGTGAGGGCACTCAGGTGACCAGGACACGGGCCCCAGGTATTCACAAGTGGGGTCAGAGACACTGACTCTTGGGGTCCTGGGGTGAACAGGGAGCCTGGGACAAAGTGGGGGGCTCACACAAATCTCCAGACGGTGGTGGAGCAAGTGAGGGAGGCAGAGACCCCCATCCAGTTGGTGAGTGGGTTCCAGCCAGGAGATGATGGGTGGGTGCCACCAGACCCTCAGGGAAATGGGGTTCACCTGGACACCCCAAGGAGTGGTGTGAACAGTCCTAAAAGCCCAGGTCTCAGAACACAGGCACCACCCCAAAGGGCCAGAGCACAGTGTCACAGTCGAGTGGGGAGCAGGTACCGATGCTCCGATCATGGGGTGCAGCCCCTCCCAAAGATGAGGTACAGTTCCTGTGTGGTCAGATAATGGGGTAACCTCCCTGGATGCTCGGGTGATGGGCAAATTCTTCCCTGGTGCTTGGAAGACGGGGTTCAGTTGACCTGGGAGGTTGGAATGTTGGGGTACAGCCACCCAGGTGAGCAGAGCATGGACAATCTGAGTTACAGGTGACTGGGGCACACAGAGTGGTCTCAGGGTACAGAGGACAGGGCCCGCTGAGCACCCCCCGGCCATCCTGGGCTCTAGGGGAAGGGGCACCCGGGCAGTCGGGGTGCACAGCGGGTCAGCACAGGCGGAGAGCGCGCGTGCTGAGCTAGCACGTCCCACACATGTGTGCCAGCAGCTCCCGGCTCCCCGGCCAGTGTCTGCCTTGTGTTCCAACCTCAGACATTCCCCAGGCGCCCTCAAAGGAAGAGCCCCCGTCCAGGAGCCCCGCCAGGGTCTCCACGGGGCTGCTGGCTGCCAAGCCGCCGTCTCGGGGCCGAGGGGCTGGCCGCGGGGTGGTCGCAGGCTGCCAGCTCTGTTTGGTTTTCTCCTTCCTGCCCAGGAACCTCAGACGCCGTCTCGCCACGGAGGCGCCCTCATCCTGGGGAGGCACAAAGCCCTACACAGCCAGCCTGGGGAGCGGCTCGGGGGGCCCTCGTGTCCCCCACAGCACAGGCGCCTGCTGGCCGAGGTGCCCTGTGGCCTGCCCTGAGGTGGGCGCCTCCTGGGTCAGCTTCTTCCAAGCCCCCCTCACCCCAGCTAGGTCAGCGTGGAGGATGGGGATGCCCACGTGGCAGGACCCAGTGTCGAGCCACACAGGCACAGCTCACGGCCCCCACAGCCCAAGCGCTCTGGGCCTGGGCCCTGCTGGTGCAGCAGGTTCTGTGTTAAGCATTAACCAGCCACGTCTCACTGCCAGCAGCAGATAAGGGGTGGGTGAGACACCTGGCCTGGGACCTGGAGGGACTGGACCAGATCAGCTGGCCACAGCACAGTGGGGGAGCTCGGATGTGCAGGCCCAACTGAAGCGGCACGGCACCATCGGGGACAGACTGCAGGGAGGGCTTCGGTCCCCTGGCTCTCCCGCCATCCAGATGAGGGCTGCTCGTTGGGAAACCCAGAGCTCCAGGGACCGGGGCAGAGCACAGACAGGATGGCCTCCACCAAGCTCCCTGGTCCCGGAAGCTGGGTGGCAGCAGGACCCAGCAGGCCCACGTGACCCTGTGAGAGCTCCACCCGGCATGGCTTGGGGAGGCCCCAGCTCCAGGGCCTGCAGACCCCTGCCCAGCTCCCACCCTCCTCACCCTTGGTGTGGGGCAGCCAGCGGTGCCGGAAGGCCGCCCCATGACTCAGCAGCCCCTTGGAGGGCCAAGCTGCACAGGCCAGTCTGCCCCCTCCCAGGGTCAGCCCGCTGGGCCCATCACTCGGCTCGAAAAGCCCCTGGGGCTCAGGACCCCTCCAGCCCTGAGGGACCCCTGGAAAGGCTGGGCCCAGACCCTCAGCCCAGGTTTGGGGGGCTGCCTCCCCAGAGTTTTCTGGCTCCTGAGGGCCAGCAGTTCCGGCCACGAGGTGGGGCTCCCCGAAGCCCTGCCTCCCACACCCTTCCTCCCACTGAGCTTTCCTGATCACTAGAGGCACAGGGAGCACTGGGCTCCGGCCGCAGGCTGCAAGTGGGCCTGGCCTCTTGGTGTCCAGGGTCTGAGAGGAAGGCCTGAGGCCGGCTAGCCAAGGAAGTGTTGGGCATCAGGTGAGAGCCGCACACGTGGGGTTCGCCAGCAGATTGTGGGGAGATCTGGCACACAGAGGGCGTCCACGTCTCAGTTGACTGGTGGTGGAGGACAGTGGTCAGCAGTAAGTGCCGGGCCTGGGCTGGCAGAGTGGGCAGGAGGCACCCAGCCACTGCACTGACCCCAGCGAGGGATCCAGCCTGGAAGGCTCCCTGGAGGAGGTGGGGCCGCCGATGCAGGTCCTGAAGGGCTCCCAGGTGGCATGGGGCGGAGACTGTGGGAATGAGCTGGAGCCCTCCCAGATGGGCAGCCAGGGCTGGGTGCACACGGGGACAGGGAGGGGGCCGGGGGTGGGGACTGCAATTGGGGAAGGACACCTGTTTCCCTTTCCTGGTCAAACTGCCCTGACCCCTAGAGAGGCTTTCCTCTTAGGGCCACAGAAGGCAGACCACTAATTTTAGGCAGCAGGACGAGAGGCCTGCCTTCCCTTCCCAGGGGGACACTGTCCCAGCAAGAATGGCCCAGTCCCAGGCTCTGAGGCTGTGTGCCTCTCTGGCCTGTCTGGCCTGCCCTGGGCTCCTGGGTGCTTTCCCCTGGATGCCCAGTCTGGAGGCTGGAGGCTGCCCAGTGATGGGGACCAGTGGAGTGGACGGCGCCACCTGGTGGCTGTGTGCCCGCCGGAACCTGTACCACCGTAGGGACCCAGAGGTCCAGTGGGACCCTGCCGGGTTTGCGATTCTCCGGGCCCAGCAACTGGTGTCCCCAGGGTCCCAAGACCCTCCATGTTCAGCCTCCAGGCAACCCCTGTGGTCCCCTGTGGACTGGCTTTGCAAGGCCGGCCCAGGAATCCTGCTGGACCGGCAACACCAATTCACCATTCAGGCCCCATCCCCGCCCTTTGCCCCCAGCCCTGCTTAGACTCAGGGCGGTAGGACCCCCAGTCAAGCGGGGCTAGAGGAGGCCTCAGGAGTCGGCTCCAGTCACCGAATGCATGTGTTCTCTGGCTTCTCAAAGGGCAAAGAGGCTTTGAGTTCCACACAGGGAGCAGGAGGCTGTTTGAACCTGGCCTGGCCTCCTACTTCAGGACCCCCTGAGGCTCCTGCCACCTCCTTCCATCCCCAGCCACTAGGGGTGCTCTGCCAGCCACAGGTGGGCAAGAGGGAGAGCAGTGGCTGGAGCCACAGGGCAGACCGTCTGGGCAGAGGGGCCCCGACCAAATTAGGGACTGGGGTCCATAACCAAATTATGGCCAGATACGGACTTTACGGGGCCCAGCATGGAATGAAAATGTGCAACCTCTTATTCAGAAAACCAGGAATTTCAGGAGCAAGGACAGACAGGCCAGCATGGAGCACCTCTCGGGGGGTGGGGGTCTGGGCTGCAGGCTGTAGAAGCCTCCCCACCTTCACGTCCCCAGGCCCTGCTCTGGGGTCGACCTGTGTGCAGCCTCTGGTCACCGAGGAGGGGTGTTCTGGGACCAGAGCTCCTCAGCCCGTTGGCCGAGAGACACTGATGCTGTGTGTGGGGGGGTCACCCCTGGGATCAGGGTGTGTAGGGGACAGGTTGAGAGGTGAAAGGGTCCAACGACTGGTTCCTTCTGGGGGGCTGGCCCCTGAGGTCTGTGGGCTCTGTGCGCGGGCTGGAATTAGGCTTCAAGGGCTGGAACCCAGACTCTGGCTGGATGCTGCCCCTGGGATGGGGAGAGCTGAGCTAGAGAGGACTCTCCCCAGGGTCAGAGAGGAACCCCAGCCCCCAGCTGGGGACCCCGTCCTCCACTCGTGGGGGCGGGACCACCCTGGCCAGGTGCGCTTCCTCCCCAGCCCCAGGCAGGTGGGGTGCAGTCCCAGGACGGCAGTGCCCCACCCTCCATCCCACCCGCCTGCCCAGGGGTTGGGGCAGGCAGGTAGGCGAGTCTGGGCAGGGCTGCGTCAGAGTGGAGGAATGTTCCGGCGCTCCCAGCTACGCCCTGCCCCTGCCTGCCCCCACCTCGCCCTCCTCCCCAGGCACTGCTGGCCTGGCGCCCGCCTGACAAATGCACCTTAAGCCCAGGCCTGCTCCAACGAGCCCCTGCCAGTGCAGCCCTGCTCCGCGGACCCCCAGCTCCCTCCCATGACTCCCACAGAGCTCTAGGTCCACGGTCCCGAGCAGCCCCTGGTCCTGGGGCCATGGTGATCAGGTCCACCTGTGAACAAGAAAACTCGAGTGGACCCCAGCTGAGGAGGGGGGTGAAATGAGACCCCAGGAAGAGCTCAGAACCCGGAAAGGGGCAGGGAGGGGGCTTCTTGGAAGGGGGAGAGGCATCTCGTGGGCCAAGGCCAGCTTGGGCAGGGCAGGGGCTGCCCGGGCCGGGCCTGTTGGCTGGGGCTGGGGAGGGGGCCATCAGGCCAGGCCCGAGGCGGCCAGCTCAGGCTTTGGCCAAGGCCCAGCGCTCCTCTCCCTTTGGCTTGCTGCACCCAGAATCCTGCCCCTGGCCACCAGCCTCCTCCTTGACCAGGCAGCCCCAGCTCTGCTACTGCCTGGCAAATGGGGCAACAGGCCGGAGCCGAGTGGCCACTTCTCCCAGGTGACTTGGCCGCCATGACCATCTCGCAGGGCAGGAGGATGGGGCGCCCACCTGGTCCCTCCAGCCCCCTGGCCCCAGCTGGCACCACAGCTATGCCAGGGCTCATTCCGGACCTCATCTCTGGGATCCCCTGTGAGTGGTGAAACCCCAGGCAGGGCATGGGATGGCCTGGCTGCTGGTCCATGGTTGTCCACAGAGGCATCTCAGTCCCTGCCCCTAGGGCCCCTCTGGGCACTCATCCTTGTGGCCCTGGCTGCCAGTGCCCTGATCGTGTCCTGTCTGCTGTGTGCCTTCTGTTGCTGCCGTCGCCGCCACAAGAATCAGCCTCGAGACAAGGAGGCCGTGGGCCTGGGCAGTGCCCGCAGTAGCACCACCACCCACCTGGTAGGAGCAGGCACCTGTGCCTCCTGGTGCCCACCTCCATGCTGGCTCAGCCCAGAGAGGGCAAGGCCAAATTCCTGGGAGCTCAGGGAAGCACAGGGAGTTAGGGGTGAGCCCCCAGGGTCAGTCTGACCCACGCAGAAGCAGGGCAGAGAGGGCCTTCCCGGCAAGGCAAGTGGGTGAAGAAGGTGAGGGGAGCGTTGCCAAGCAGGGGCAGATGTTGGCCCACGGGTCACAGGAACCTTGTGGGGGCGGAGCTGAGCTCGGGAGGTGAGCCCATCTGGCAGCCTGGCCTGGAGGTGGGAGGCTTGACCCACGTCAGGGAGGAGCCACATTTTGGGAGTGCAGTTCTCTGATGGGGGCATGATCCCCATCACACCAGTGTCCCTGGTCCCTGCCCACCCAGGTGCAGCCAGATGTGGATAGACTGCAAGGCGACCCAGAGGACCCTCGACAGTGGGGTCGCCTGCAGCTCTCCCTGGAGTACGACCTGGGGAGGGAGGAGGTGAGGCCTTGGGCAGGCCCGGAGGCCCTGTGGTTCAGGAGGCTGTGAGGGAGCAGTGGGCTGCTGGGGAGACCCTCGGCTGAGCCCACACTGCTGCCTCCCAGGTAAAGGTGGGCCTGAAGCAGGCAGCCGACCTGAGGGCGGGGGGCACGGCAGACCCCTATGCCCGCGCCAGCGTCTCCACTCAGCCGGGGCACGGGCACGAGACGAAGGTGCACCGTGGGACGCTCTGCCCCGTGTTTGAGGAAACCTGCTGCTTCCACGTGAGTCTGGGCGGCAGGCGGTGGCCTGGGCCGGGTGGCAGGCTTGACTCACAGCCCTCTGCAGGTCCCGCAGGCAGAGCTGCCTCGGACCACCCTGCACGTGCGGCTGCTGGACTTCAAGCCCTTCTCGGAGCACCGGCCCCTGGGGGAGCTCCACTTGCCGCTGGGAGCGGTGGACCCGCAGCATGTGCTGGAACGCTGGTACCAGCTGGGCCCGCCGGGTCCCCAGGAGGTGAGGCCCAGGGTGGCAGCAGTGCAGGCAGACTCCCCCCGGCAAGGCCGATCCCCCAGCGGAAGCCTTCTGGGTGCCCACAGCCCGAGCAGACCGGGGAGCTGTGCTTCTCGCTGCGGTACGTCCCCAGCTCTGGCCGCCTGACAGTGGTGGTGCTGGAGGCCCGAGGCCTGAGTCCAGGACTGGCAGGTGAGGGCCACACTTGCCCACTCGGGAGAGGACTAGGGGCCTTGTGCTCGACCCAGTCCTGGGCCCCTTCTCGTCTTCCCAGAGCCCTACGTGAAGGTCCAGCTCATGGTGAACCAGAGGAAGTGGAGGAAGAGAAAGACCTCTGCCAGGAGGGGCACGGCCAGCCCCTACTTCAACGAGGCCTTCACCTTCCTGGTGCCCTTCAGCCAGATCCAGGTGGGCTGTGGGGAGGCCGAGGCAGGGTGGGAAGGCCTTGCACAGGGCTGACTGACCAGGCCTTCCTCTCCCCGTGCTGCCCGTCTGAGCAGAGCGTGGACCTGGTGCTGGCTGTCTGGGCTCACGGTCTGCGGTTCCGAGCTGAGCCTGTGGGCAAGGTACTGCTCGGCTCCCGGGCCTCCGGCCAGCCTCTGCAGCACTGGGCAGATATGCTGGCCCATGCCCGGCGGCCCATTGCTCAGTGGCACCGTTTGAGGCCTGCCATGGAGGTGGACAGCACCCTGGCCCTGCGGCCCCGACTGCACCTACCACTGCCCGGCTCCTGACAGCACCCTGAGCTTCAGCCCACTCCCAGGAACCCCCTGTAATAAACACCCTCTTTCCACCACCTGTGTTCTCGGGGGCCCTGGGGGGACTCTGTCCTCAGCTGTGGACCCTCCCGAGGGTGGAGCAGGCTCTCCTTTCAGATTCCCGAGGCCCTGACCCCAGGTCAGGGGAAGGATCCTGCGAGAGGCTCGGGTCCAAGCAGGATGCCGTGGGGACCTCCCATCGGGTGGGCTGGCAATCGCATGGGTGGGGGCTGGAGCTGTCCTGCGGGGACTCGGTGTGGAAACTGGGGACGGTGATGAGGGGGACAGCGGAATGAGGGGATGGGGCACCTTCAGGGACAAGCGGTTACGGCCTCCCCTGTGTGGGCAGCAGGGGGCAGTAGACACCTTTGGAAGCTGCTGGGGGCCTTGGGGGAGCAGCCCTGGCCCAGGATGCACTCCTAATCCCCGCACATCTGGAGGGCTTCAGCGCTCCAAGCCTCCTGCCTCTCATGTCTCTGATCCCCGTGGGCTGGGGAGCCTTTGGAGCTGGGCCCAGCGCCCCACCACTCAGAGAGGGGCCTTGGCAGGGTTGGGCCCCAGGGGCGGGTGGGGAGCGGCCTGGCCGGGTGAGAAGGGCAATGCGGGCCTGCCCAGGCGGCTGAGGGGCCCCGAGCCCCCACAGGTCAGAGAAAGGTTCCCAGGGCGTCGCTGTGCTGTCCTGGGTGGAGGACGTGTTCTGAGTTGTCTCTCAGAGGCGCCAGCAGGCAGGCAGGGCGCGGTGGCAGGCCGGGGCAGCTCAGCGGCTCAGCCCGGCCCCACCCTTCTCCAGCAACCCTGCAGGAGGAAAGTTCATGCCCAGGGAAGAGTAGCACCCCAGTCCTGGTCACTGCTCAGGGCCCAGGGGCTGAGGTTGGGGGCCCGGTCTCCCCCAGAAGGGAGGCACCTGGCCGGGTCTGCCTGAAGAGCCGGCCCCGGGCTGAAGTGGGGAACAGTCAGCTGGCAGTAGGATCTGAGTGGGGGGCCACTCAGCAGGCAGCGAGGCAGTCCTGTGGAAGCAGAGCTTGGGGAGTCCAGGAGGGGGTCCGATGTGGACCCAGGCAGACGGGTGCTGTGGGCCCAGCTCGCGGCCGAGGAGGCTCCCTGATGTGGGGGCTGCAGCTTCTCCAAGAGCCACACTCAAAGCCACCCACGCTGTCCTCAGCTCCTTGCTCCTTGTAAGAACAAGGGAGGTATCTCGAACTCGTCACTGAGCCCTAAATAGAGCAGCCCCACCGCACCCTCCCCAAGACTTCTTGGACAGGATGGCAGCACGAGGCCAGCAGCAAGTGCCTGGGCTGGGCCGGGCCAGGCGGCCTGGGCAGGTGGGGAGGCCTCTCTGTGCCCCCATTGGTCTAAGGAAGTCTCCATGCCCTTTCTGAGCAGGGGCCCAGCCTGGGGGAGGCCATTTATACCCCTCCCCCGGGCCCACCAGCCGACTCTCCACGGCCGGCCTGACCTCGTTCCCAGCCCTGCTGCCCCGACTCTAGGTGAGGCCAGCCTTGCCCACTGAGGCCAGAGGACAAGGCGTACTCAAGTTTGCAGAGGGCTTCCCGGGGCAGGGGCTGGGGCTGGGGGTGGGGGGCAGCTGCCTGCAGCCCTCCCGGGGAGCTCCGCGAAGCAGGCAGTGAGAAGCAGACGTTTGGGGAGGTAGCCAGGATGGGCAGGGGTCTTGGAGAGGCCCCTGATGACCAGACCTCAACGGGGGACACTGGCATGAGCTTTCAGGTCAAGAGCCCAGGACCTGAGACCCCAGCCGCATTGGGGCGACTCCTGCATGCACTTGGGTTCAAAGCCAAAGGAGCAGAGTTAAAAATAGCAACACCATGTGGGCAGCCACCTGTGCTGGCCCGTCCCACCCCTCCCTCGGGACAGCTGCAGCTCCCCTCAGGCCCTGCCTGGACATCTGGGAGCCCTGTCTCCTGGCTTCTCACCCTGGGGAGCTACTCCAGGGCCTGGCCCTCTGAGGAGGCTGGATTGGGGCTGGCAGGCGGAAGGGGCCAGCGAGCGAGCGGCTGCTGCCCTCACCACCTGCCTGGCCAGCCTCGTGTGGCCTGGGCCTGACGCCTCCGCCCTGTCTCTCCCCACAGGCTCCGAGCTCAAGACCTCAGGATGGGGGAGTAAGTGGCACCAGGGCAGGGCCCCTGCTGCCCCCCCCCCCCGCGCCCTCACAGCCCTCACATGTCCCCAGCAGCGGCCCCTGCCCACCCTGGCCCCCAGGAGCCCCTGTGCCCCTCTCATGCCCACACTCTGCCAGCAGGGCCCTAACCTCTCTCTTTTCTCCCCCTCCCCCTTCCTTTCTCCGGGGACAGTGAGGAGGTGAGTACCCCCTGGGGGGCCTGAGACCTGGAGGGAACAACCCTCCCACTCAGAACAGGTCAGAGGGCAGACCTTGAAGGTCCTGAGGCCCAGGAAGATCCTCCACACCGGAAAGGCCCCGCCCACGGAGGCACTCAAGAAAGAGAGGAAGCGGCTGCCTGCTGCCCTGGGGCAGGGGAAGTGGGCTGGGCCTGGACACCCAGAAGCACTTCTTCTTTCTAATTTCTGTACCCCACACACCTTCCCAGCCTCCCGCACTGCTGTGCCCCCCCCCCAGGCCACACGTTCCTCCTAGCAGAGTGTTACAGCCACAGGCCCCAGTCCTCGGGAAGGCCCTGGGCTGCGTGGGGGGACAGGGCCTGGGCTCTGGGAGCAGGCCCCAGGTGGGAGGGAATGGGCCCTGGGGCAGAGACCCTGGGGCGGGGCAAGCCCTGGGGGACACGGCCTCCCCCTCAGAAGCACCAGGCTCAGCACCATCTGCAGGAGCCATGCCTGGGCCACTCCTGGGGTGGGGGGACTCCAGCCATGGCCTGACTCTGCCCCCGGGACCCGCTTTGCAGAAGCGTAACAGGGCCATCACGGCCCGGAGACAGCACCTGAAGGTGGGTACTGGCTGCAGGGGGCCGCCAGGGTGTGCGGTCTCTGCAGCCCCTCACGGCCTGCCCCCACCCCACCCTGCAGAGCGTGATGCTCCAGATCGCCGCCACGGAGCAGGAGAAGGAGAGGGCCCGCCGGGAGACGGAGAAGCAGAACTACCTCTCCGAGCACTGCCCGCCACTGCACATCCCAGGCTCCATGGCCGAAGTGCAGGTACTGGGCTTCTCACACCCTGAGAGGGCCTGCGGGGTGGGGAGGGGCGGCCAGGGGCCCCGGGTGTGGAGAGGGTGCCCACTTGCTGCCCGCCCCCACCCCAGGAGCTGTGCAAGCAGCTGCACGCCAAGATCGATGCGGCTGAGGAGGAGAAGTACGACATGGAGGTGAAAGTGCAGAAGAGCAGCAAGGAGGTGAGGCCAGCCGGCCGCGGGGCGCGGGGCAGGGGGCGCGGGGCAGCGGGCACCTACCCACTGGCTCCCTCCCTGCAGCTGGAGGACATGAACCAGAAGCTGTTCGACCTGAGGGGCAAGTTCAAGAGGCCCCCGCTGCGCAGGGTGCGCATGTCCGCAGACGCCATGCTGAAGGCGCTGCTGGGCTCCAAGCACAAGGTGTGCATGGACCTGAGGGCTAACCTGAAGCAGGTCAAGAAGGAGGACACGGAGAAGGTAAGTCAAGAAGGCCTCCGGGAGGCCCTGACGGAGGGGACGATGAGGCAGGGCGATGTGGGGCTGGTGGGTGGGGGCCTGAGTCCTCTCTGTCCCCCAGGAGCGGGACCTGCGCGACGTGGGTGACTGGAGGAAGAACATCGAGGAGAAGTCTGGCATGGAGGGCCGGAAGAAGATGTTCGAAACGGAATCCTAGGCCGCCTACCGCCCCCCCAACCCCAGTGCCCAGCTGGGGAGGCGCCCGATGCCCAGCCCAGCCCCAGGGGCAGCTGGCCTTGGCCTCGTGCCCATGGTCAATAAAGGATGGAAACCCATGCTGGTCTGGTCTGGTTCTTCCCCACCTGCTCTGGGCCGTAGCACCCGCTGGCAGGGCGTCAGGGTGCAGCGGATTTGGGCTTGGGGAAAAGGGGGAGCCAGGAGAGCCCCACAGGGAACCTACCCCAGGCTGCTGGGCATGGTTGGCGCTAGCCCCAGGATTCCCCAGGCCACTCTGGACACATCCACCATCGCGGAGCCCTGGGGCCCGGCCATGTCTGGGTGGGAGTTCCCAAGGTGAGCTCACCGCTCCTCGGCACTGCCATCCAGAGCCCTGGTGGGATTCAGAGAAACCGACTCTGAGGGACGCAGGGCCAGGCAGGGCCATGGCAGGCAGGCCCCTCCCCAGCTGCCCTCCCATTGAAGGCCAGAAGCCGGAAGCCACTTTGGGTCCCTGTCTGCCGTCCCTGTGTTTCCACCAGCATCACTCAGGAGTGGTGTCCGTGCCCGGGACCGCCCTGTAGGCTGTGCCTGCCCCCTGACTGGGCATGGGGCCTGAGGCCTCACCATCTCTGCGCAGGGCTACACTGGAGGACGTAGGACCTTGGTGCTTGGCTACAAAGTTGAGCTGTGGGCCAGGCCCTCCCAGCCTCTCCCACAGAGGCACACAGGCCCTCCCACAGGCCAGGGCTGGGTCCTTGATCTTGTGCTAGGACTGACAGCAGGACCCACCTGGCCACCCCTGGGCCCAGAGGGCACTTGCCCCTGTTTTCTGTTCCGCCCAGGCCCTGGCTGCAGAACAAGGTCCCCAACAGTCCCTAACAAGAGTTGGTACAGCAGGGCTGGGTGTCAGTCTCCCTGTGCCATGGGCCCCAAAGTCCCCCTGCCCAGATCTCCAGTGGGAGCCCAGGGAGGCTGCCCGCCAAGGGCCTGCCCTAGCCCTCCAGAGGTCCTGGGCTGGGTCTGTCGTCCCTGGAGGTAGGAAGGGCAGCTGCAGGTCAGCCTGATGCCCAAGACAGCTTCACTGAGAATAGCTCCCCCCGGCCTGCCCAGCCCTAGGGTGCCCACCGTACACCTGTCCAGGACCCCTGAGGCCTTCCCAGCCTGGGGATACTGCAGCTGGAGCCCCAACCTCATTACCTGCCCCCAGCCCTGGGCCTTCTGCCCACCGTACGCCTGTCCAGGACCCCTGAGGCCTTCCCAGCCTG